CATTTTCGCTGGCAGTAGATAAAGAGGACCGCTGGAAAAAACCCACTGCACATCTCACCGCCCACCAAACGCCAAATAAAATCCCTCTCTCCGCCTCTTTCCATTCTCCCTCGCGTCTCTCCTTCTCCCTCCCTTCTCCACCACCGTCGGCTGCCATCGCCACCCCACCCACTCCCAGTACCGCCGCCGCCGCCATGCCTTGGGAGCGCGCGGGGAAGGGGGGGTGGCGTCTCTCGTCATCAGCGGCGCGGGGGACGGGGCGGCGGGAGTGGATCCGGCACCTCCTCCTCTCTCCCCACCGACGGCGGCGGCAAAATGGAGGGATGGCGGCTCGCGCATGTGACAACGATGCTTGGGAGAGGCGAATCTGGCGCTAGCATGCCTCAGGAGTGTTTGTGATGCTCTATATTCTGATTGTGCTTGAATGATGTTCATGTCTATTTTCAAATTTTTTTTGGCAACTTCCTAGATGAGATGGTAGAAAGGGATTTTGGGGATTTATTTTTTTCTCAAAAACCATTTTCACTAGCGGTTGGTATAATATTGCTGACTGCATAAGTCTATTTTTACTGGGAGTTCACTTAATCTTGTCACCAGCGAAAATAGATTATTTTCACTTACCTTTAGACGTTGACGGTTAGCCTAGCCGCCAGAAAAGGCATATTTTAGCAGTCAGGAAAAACTATTTTTTTCCCAGTAGTGAATATGCCTGGATCAAAACTCAACTATCAAAAGCCATACATGCAGCTGAAGCATCGGCATGCATGAAGCACGCGCAGTTCTCCATCCATATATATATCCTTTTAAATAATAAGTTTGCAGCTGACATGTCAATTTAAATGGCCGCGCTCTGCAGCTGTACTGTACTTATCTCGCTCGTGCGTGCACACCAACTACACTGTAACTTTCTGTACGTGATAGATGGATATCAATATACTCTCATCCTACGTACGACAGGTCGACAGCTTTCCTAGCTAGCCGCCTGACGCCTCTATCTCCAATACTCCTCATTCACAAAAAATTGTGGACTCTTTAGTTATAGCTACCCGCAACTGATCAGCTCAACAGCATGATGTGCATAAATTTTGCTGTTGCCTGCATGCCTACGTGTCGTGCATATGCATGCTTCAAATTAAAGGGAGCATGTATAATATAATTGCCAACAATTAAAAGAGGTTCTAAAGAGCTTACAAATTATTGGACACTCCATCCTTATTACCTACTCTCTCCGTTTCACAATGTAAGTCATTCTAGCATTTCCCACCTTCATATTGATGCCATAAATTCATTAGCATCAATATGAATGTAGGAAATTCATTAGCATCAATATAAAGGTGGAAAATGCTAGAATGACTTACATTATGAAACGGAGGAAGTAGTACTATATAAGTTGCAATTAGCATGCATGTTCTTGCTTCATATGAAGGTGTGTATTTTCTTTATTTAGGCATATATGTACTGCCTTATTTCTCAAATTAATGGATGATGTTTTGAATATCGACATGCATGATCCTTAATGCACGTCTTTTATTATTATTATTTTAAACTAGACATTTATAAAAACTTATATAAAACTATAACTATAGAAATTTTTATAAAAAATCTACTAGGATAACATTCAAACTTTAAAATTCCACTATTTTTGTATTAATGGTTTAAGATTTAGATCAGGCTTGACTACACATATTCTAGGATATCATCATTTTAAGACAGAGATAGTATCAAATAAAAGAGGAGTATACATATTTTAAATATTTCAAATCTATTCAATATTTAAACCAAACATATATGCATAGACCAGGTATTCCTAAAGTGTTTTTCAGTAATATGCTATAATTTAGTACTACCTCCGTTTTTTAATAAATAACACCGTTGACTTTTTATCACACGTTTGACCATTCATCTTATTCAAAAAAATTACATAGTTATAATTTATTTTGTTGTGCGTTGTTTTATCACTCAAAGTACTTTAAGCATGATTTATATCTATACATTTACATAATTTTTTTTGTATAAGATGAATGGTCAAACATATGTTCAAAAATCAATGGCGTCGTCTATTAAAAAACGGAGGGAGTAGTAAACAACATGCAGTGACTAGATGAAATAAAGAAAAACGTGGTGCCTCTATCTCACAGAAGTATATAGAGAAAGTTGCATGTATATTCAACTTCCACTGCATGTCAATTATATATGCACAAAGCCTAGAATGGATAGGATAGAGAATATACATTAAATTGACTCATTGACTCCAAACTTATCCATTTCAATAAAATCCAATATTAAACGCTATTCCATGCATGCTCATAAAAGTAGACCAACCAAAGCAGCAAGCCGCCATCCACCAGCCACAAAAACATAATAAAATTAACAATAGTTGTATGCGCAACGCATGGGCTTTCTTCCATTTTTCTTTCTTCATTTCTAAATTCACTTAATTCTAGACGGTTAAGATTGCTATAGGATCCATTCAAATTTTCTCCACGTATTTCCGTTGTATGCCTTCGTGAGGTATTTCTCTATTGTTGCATTCCTTCTACTTGCTCAGTTTTGATAAGCCATTTCCATCCCCGTCTGTAATGGATTTGTTCCATGAGATCCGATGCTACCACTTCACTCCCACTTCCCCATATCCAATGGCTAGGCCCCACCACCCCCTCCAAATCTCTCTTTCCTTGTTAATAACTTATCCTCTTCCCTCCGATCCTCACCCTATAGTATTCTTCCACCCCCACCCATTCTTATTGGAATGATCTAATAAACTAGGGGTTCTTGTTGCATCCGTCATCAAATATCTCCTCCCACATTATCTATCTTCCTTCATCACCATAATTGCTTTGGTTGGTGGTTAAAAATGGAGATAATCCAAGAAATGTCATTGACAAACGTGCAAATCCAAAAATACCATCGACAAGTGTGAGTTTCAAAAAAAATCCATCCTACAAACGACTTTGTCCCAAAAATACCATCGTCGTTAGGGTTCCGTATATCCCGCGCCATTAAATATTATAGGATGAACAATGTCTTTAGCGGCGTGGAATGGACGGAGCCCTAACGACAGATGTCATTTCTTGAAACTCACACTCGTCGATGGCATTTCTTCAAACTCACACTTGTCGATGACATTTCTTAGATTTAGACGCTTATCAATGTCATTTCTTGGATTATCTCTAAGAAAATGTGGAGGTTCGATCTTGAATCAACCAATGTACATATGTAGTACAACTAAAAAGAATAAAGATAAACTAAATGGAATAAATATTTTATTAGGGAGCGCCAAAAAGTAGTTGCATAGATATATATCAAGAGATAGACTCATATAATGCACAAAAACCAAAATATATGTGATATCCAAATCACATTGCATATGCATCAAAAGCTGCCAACGACCCAATCTGCCAATCATACACTGGGACACATGCAAGAGGATCGATCGTGTGGTTATTTCTGCATGATATGTGTCTATGAAAGCGAACTAGAGCTACATATCATGATTTATATACCTGGCATGCATAAATTAAAGTTTTGTTTTGGTAGATGGATGTTGGCCAAAGAACAAGTCACATGGACTTGGCCCGTGCTTGCTCACTCACCTAAAAATGGACCTGACCTTTTTGGAGGGTCAAGTATAGTAGGTGAAGAATATATGGGCATGTGTATATACTCTCTCCGTCCCATAATATAAGGGATTTTGAGTTTTTGTTTGCAACGTTTGACTACTCGTCTTATTCAATTTTTTTTGAAATTATTATTTATTTTATTTGTGACTTATTTTATTATCTACCGTACTTTAAGTACAACTTTTCGTTTTTTATATTTGCAAAAAAAAATTGAATAAGACGAGTGGTCAAACGTTACAAATAAAAACTCAAAATCCCTTATATTGTGGGACGGAGGGAGTATATACTTTGTTAATTAGTTAGCTGAGAAGAAGAAAAATGAGAAATACACCAACTTTGTAATAAGCACAGTAAGTTAAAGAAAATTATATATATATAGTTGCATGACCGTGTAATCCAGTTGATCACTCATGGATATAATTAAATTTATTCTTAATCAAAGTCAAAAAAATTATCCTTAATCCACTCGATCTGAAAAGCATAGATAAGAGAAAATCCTCAGAAAAGTATCACGAAACATTGTGATTTCGGCAGTGACAGTCAGATACAGCTATGACAGCGCTGAAAATGATGCCAGAATTGACATTTGACAACAACTAATATCTCCTGCATGCTCCAGAATAGACAGTACACTGAAAAGATTTAATCTGAAGCAGCTAAATTGTATACCTAAACTATGAAGAATTGACTAGTAAACAGTACCTCTCAATCTTCTAGAGCACAAATTTTGACAATTTGACCTTTTGTAAAAACTATTTTTACAAATAAACCGCTGCCAAAACTTATTTCAAATATGACCCTTTTGCTCAACGCCAAATCATGTGGCGCTGAACTTAGACATCTCAGCGCCACGTCAGCTGGCGCTGAATGCCGTGCCACGGCGGATGGGAGACTAACTCAGTGTGCCAACGCACATTCAGCGTCATACTATTTACCCATGATGCAGGAACCTAGTTTCTGTTGTAGTGTTATTGCCATTAGCCTAGCTTTATTTTAACACTCAAGCTATGCTAGGTAATCACTTTAACGACAGAAACAACAAAAAGGAGTTGATGTTTAAACGGCTAACAGTTGACCTGCAGACTTAGAGTATATATATAGCTCTAATACTTTTCAGGCATGAATATCCAAATGATGAACCCTCACACATGCTAGTGACAAAATAACATACTATAATAACCGCACCTACACCTTAATTTTTTCTTTTAGTAAAATGAAAGCCATCAAGTAAATTTGTGCTACGGCAGCTCAGAAGTCAGAAGAAGAGAACAACAGTGTACTAAGCAGATGATAACCACCAAGAAAGTACTAACTGCTGCAAAAATCTGTTCCCAGCATATGAAAGGTAAGTGACAATTAATTCAGATATACAACTACTAATAGTCAAACGGAAAAGCACAGTTATTTTACAGAATATAATTAAGATGTTCATCTGAATATAATCTGTACATGGACACAGCAGTTACATGAACGCTTCTTATGCGTATGCTTTTTAACATATATTATGTTACATTACACACCATCAATTCACCAAAAATCAAAATATGAAAGAAAAAAAGGAAGAGAACTTTTTAATCGGTTCATACACAATCAGATTCATTCATCCACCGAATCCTTTGAATGCCAAATCGCCAATACCACCTTACCTGCTGATGATGCTGATCTACTCGCACGACGAGGCCGAATCAAATCCACGGCGATCACCGGCGGCCGGTGCCGGAGGAGGTGTCGGAGGAGCAGTCGCATTCGGCGGCGGCGGCCTCCACCTCTCGCCTGTGGAAGCTCCGGTGGCAGCCGCAGGCGGCGCAGAGGAGCGCGGCGGCGGTGCCCTCGGCGCCCGACGCCATGAACTCGCGGCAGCCGTCGACGGCGTGGCCGCCGATGCTGGCGGCGTGGTTGCGCTGGCACTCCCTGTACCGCACCACCTTGTTGTTCTCCTTCCTCCCCGCCGCCGCCGCCGCCGCCGTGCTGCCGTTCGCGTACGGCTTGGCCGCCGACCGGTCTTGCTGAGGCCCCATCGATGATCACCGCACAGATATCACACCTCGCCGCCGGCGAGCGTCGACGACGTTAGGTGGCGAGGAGGAGAAAGGGAGGAAGAAGAGAGGAATGGAAAAGCTTTGGTATCACGGCTTTGGATGGTACGTACTTATATGGAGGAGAAGAGAGGAGATGAGCAAAAGTTTATCTTTTTCTTTATTTTTTCTTTTTTTTTGAGAGGAGGTTTCTCTTTTTTATTTTGTCTTGTTAATTACTTTACATGTACTTTGCTTTGCTGATCTTAAATATATTGCTAGTGCGTGTACTCTTTGCTTGTTTATGCATATTGTTCACTTGCAAACAGTTTACCTTTTTTGTCAAACTAGTCATGCACAGGGACTAACCCTGCACTGGTATCATGAATTAATGTCTTTGAGAAATTGAAATCTTTGGTACCACTTTCTATTCTGTACAGGAATAGTACCTTTTTTGTATGATGATTAAATCAGCAAGCAATTAACTTTGGTTGAACATATTAGTGGCCATGAGAGGAGTACATTGAATTGTTAATCAGTAGATACTCACAGTTATTTTTGCTTATCTTTTTTGTAAGTAGACAAATTTGCACTCGTATTTAAGTTGGTTTCTCAGAGAAGCATTGAGCCTTTTGAACTTATTCTTTATTATATTATTATTTCCATAGAAATGGTCATGTTGAGCACGTTGGCACATTAAGCATGATCTAGTAGCTAGTTTTGGTTGTTATTTCTGTTGCTAGTGCTAGAATATTTTCACTTGGAAAAAGCCATATCTTATCTTGTCCTCTTGTGCTAGTTGCCAGTACCAAAAGGCAACTGCAGAGCATTCAGTTTGGTGACTCGTGTGTGCCATTTAGTTAAGGACCACCATGACCAACTAACTAAGCATTTTAAGTAGGTCCTTTAGTGGACAGGATTAGATCTGAATTGACTTGACGAAACGTCTTATGCGTCTCTTAGGTTGATGGAGATTCGTCTAATTGCTAAGATGGTGACCGGTTCTTGTTTACTGACATGGACATCTTAAAGAAAAGGTGAAGTAGTGCGGGGGAGAAAGTCAAAATACAGAGATTCAGTGACTTGTGCACAACACAAAGCACAAAAGAAGAAGGAAATTTAGGGATGAGAGGAAGTTTCTTGGATCCACATGGGAGGTTGGATTGAGAAGCACTCTTCTCCAATTGACTCTTCTGTTCATCATCTGTCTCCTACTTGCTTGTGCCACCTTCTCCTCCATTTTTCAGGAACAAGTCTGTCCACTTGATCAATGGTGCCAAGCTGTATTCTCTGTTATGTAGAGAATTATGGTGTGGGACCTTCCTGTATGTCTTCAGAACATACCTAATTCCAATGATGCATATATGTCCTACTGCCCACATTTGAGCATGATGAAATCATGCCAATTATTTTTCCTTGAAACAAAATCGTCAGGAGAACTTCCAATTATATTTCAATAAATATAAGTAAAAACTCCAACAGATTAAAAGAAAAATAGAAAAAACAACCTCTCGAAAAGGACAAAACCTTGCCGAAAGCTTCAAACTGTGGGCGGCTAGAGAACTAAACTTAAAACACCAGCCCGCTAACAACTAAACAATGACGGAGCACAACACAGAGCATCGTTGCCGAGCTCATTGCAAAAGCAACACAGCTTTGGCTTTGTTGCGAAATCATGCCACTTTTTCATGAATTACCTTTAACCTCACTATCAATCAACCACATTTGATCTGTGTGTGACTGCCAGCTCTTGTCACAAACCTAAGACTTTAAGCTAGTTCTTCCATGCTTGGTAAAACGACATCTAATCTACTGAATGCAATGAACGTGGATATTGTCCCAGGTTGAGGTTTGGTGATATATGTGAAAGATTCCATGACATCTGCTTTATCAAGTTGAGATCTCTCCTCAGGAAAAGGAAAAATGATGGGCTGTAGAAACGATAAAAGTAGAGCACTGATCGCCGCGACAAAGATACAGAATGGTCGTATTCAGCAACCAAACTTGTCTTCTGTAGTGGAACTGGTCATCAAATAATTTATGTCCGCTCTATCAAAAATAAGGAAAGAATTAGGTGCTCTAGTGACAAAAACAGCACACATTCTTTGCTTTGCTTAACTTTTAATTATTCAGGTGAAAAAAAGGAGCGTGTTCTGACCAGGGAATACCATTCTGAGCCTTGTCAAGTTTGTCAAAGACTAGTAAATTAGGCGTCCTTACAAAAAAAAGAGAGAGGACAGGTTAGCATGAACCGTGAAGTAGATTTGTTAGATTATTACCACCTAAAAGTATAAGAAATTTAATCAAGTAATTCGAACGAATTCTGCTTCTGATCTTGCTGGCATTATCGATGGACTAGTTAATTTTTCTCTCTCTCAGGATTCCAGAAAACATCACTGCAAAAATGAAAGGAATATCTCATACTAGTACCACACCTGAAGTCCTTTTCCTTAAAACATAATCTCTTAAGACCCTATGATTAGTACAACGATGTTTTTTTATATCTCCATCAACTTTAAATAATTTATAATATATCGTTATACATGTGCCATTGTCTCTTCAGTTTAAAAATTAAAATATGCACTTGATGAAAAGTACTATTAGTTCTCTCTACAGGGGGTTATGCACTAAAGTTCTAAACAGTCCATGCTCATATTTAGTTACACCCAAACAATGAACTTGAGTAAAATGCAAGAACTACCTTATCATCATAAGCTGAAAGAATAAACATATAGTGATATGGTTAGTTATACCCCACGGGATGCACCACATGAGTTAGTCATGACAACCAAATCTTTGAAAAGTTAACCAAGTACACCGGATTAAATGGATTTGCCAAGTACTACTCTTGAATCTTGATGCTTGAGTAAGGAAATAGGGGGCTCAATTTTGACCTTATGAAGTACTAGTAGCAACAACATTAGGGCCTACTGGCTGGTGGATAACGTGGAATTCGGCTCCACCAATCAAAATCAAATCAAATCATTACAGAAATATTAGGACAAAGCTGGGGCACACCTCACTTTTAAGGTTCATCAACTCTTGTGTCTTCTAATGCTATCCTCTGGCGATTAGAATGTTTGTTATTATCAAAGCCATTGCCCATGAAGAGCAATCAAGGATCAGATGTACACGAATGGTTTCAGTCGCCATCACTGGAATAATAATTCAGCTCATCATACTAATTTGTTTTTTCAGCAAATGACATGTACAGTAGTGTTGGATAGAAGCTGAGAAGGATGTGAAGGTGCAGGGTCCCCCACGAGAGCTGTATATGCTTTGATGTGGCGATCCAACAACATACAGTGGTTGTTGCAAATTGGCTGGCGTCCATTGCAGTATTGCATTGCAATGCGACGGATGTGAAATTGGCAAATTGCTAGGTGCATGTGAGATTTTGTGTTTGTGTGTGGCGTGCAATTGAAGGGCCTTTCTTTTCGGCCAGCTTGTCCTCCGCACCGCAAATCTGGTTGCTCGCATCAATGAATGTCCCAGCCTGCATCGATGTCTGTCAAACTCACAATTCACAACTGGATTGTTCAACAACTTTTCAGCAAAGATTTTAAAGAACAGTTTGGTTTGTTCAGCAGGTTCAGACTTCAGAGACATTTAGCACAATTGTGATTAGAAACCAGGCAATAACGTTTACGCTGATGCTTATCTGCAGATGTCAATAAAATCGGTGGATGATACGCTAGGTGAGCGACTGGAGAAGCAAGAACAGGGTGAGTAGGGTCAGTGTGCCTGCCACTGTAACACCGTGAGATGGATGTTATCTGGTTGGCGTCAAATCGGGCGTTGCGAGCAAGCGACACTCTGAAGCGGGACGGAAGGAGTTGGTCTCGGAGACAAGAGGCATCTTTTTATCTTGCAATGCAATCGATTGATCTCCTCCTATTCTCTTCTTCTTCTGTTGCTAGTGACTAGTGATGGCGATTGCAATAGCAAAACGAGATAGCTAGCATCTAGTACTACTACCAGTTGTTGCTTCTGGGATTCCTTCCCCATTTCATTCGCCCAGTTCTTGCTTCTGGGATCATCGCGTGGCATCTCATGTATGGTGCTAGTAGTTTTCTTCTTTGATCTTGGAACATCAGAGCGTGGTTGCTGACGCGAGCCTGACAGTGAAGCAGTGATGCATGCGTGACAAGATTGAGATTTGAGAAGAGAGGCCTAAACTGAACTGAGGCCAAGTTTAGTTCGAAACGTTTTCTTAAAACTTCCAACTTTTCCATCACATCAAAACTTTCCTACACACACAAATTTTCAACTTTTTCATCACATCATTTCAATTTCAACCAAACTTTCAATTTTGGCTTGATCTAAACACACCTTGATATGCAGCCCGGAGGAAATTAACGGGCCTGCTAGTACTTATAGGCCTTGTCCAACAAACATAGGAATAAGTTCACCCGTCATCCTTCAACTTTACACCGAGTTTCTTTGACATCCCTTATCCTCAGTATCAAAAATCTTCACCCCTAATAATACAAAACCGTCCAATTTAGGTCCGACGGCAGTATAGACACCTGGTTTTGCTGACTTGGCATCCTAGTCAGCAAAAGAAATAAATAAAGTTTGTGGGGCCCACATATGAGAGAAATGATGTGGGCCCCATCTCTTCTTTCTTCCCTTTTCTCTTTTATTATTTTCTTCTCTTCTCTTGTCTTCTTCAGCGGGTACCGCGAGTGCACGACGACGGGCCGAGACGGGCGAGGCGACGGCGGGCGAGAGCGGCGGCGACGGCGGGCGAGCGCATAGTGGGCAAAGTAGGCAGGTGTGGCATGCAAACGCGATGAAGGTGGGCGAGAGCGGTGGTGGCAGGCGAGCACGATGGCGGCGGGCGAGAGCAGCGGCGACGACGGGCGAGCACGCAGCGGGCGAAGTAGGCAGGTGTGGCAGGCGAACGCGGTGGAGGTAGGCGAGAGCGGTGGTGGCAGGCGAGCACGAGGGCGGCGGGCGAGCGTGGCAGCGGCGGCTGCTGCTGGCGCCCCGACGTCGCCCAACTTCGGCGGCGCCCGTCCCTTGCTTCGATATGCGAGGAGAACAACGTCGACCTGCTCCGTTTCGCGGGGCGGCGTGAGCACAACGCCAGCGTCGGCCGCGCATGCCCACCAACTCCCGCGTCATCCCCTTCGCCTCTCGCCGCCGACGATGTCATCGCACCAGCCGCCTCTCTCACCCTCTCCCGCTGGCGTGGTTGGCATCCTATCTCCTCTCCTACGACGACGACGACAACATGGAGCTGGATGATGGAGGAGCGCGGCCGGCATCCTCTCCCCCCTCTCCCACGACAATGTCGACGAGGAGGCGTTGGGGCAGCAAGGGGATGACACCGGCGAGCACCTTGAGCACGATGCAGCCTCGTCGCCCAGCCGCCCCTACCTGCTTCGCCTGCCGCCGCTCTCGGCCGATGCCACCGCCCCTGCCTGCTTTGCCCGCCGCCGCTCTCGGCCGATGCCACTGCCTCTGCCTGCTTCGCCCGCTGTGCGCTCGCCTGCCGCCCATGCTTGCTTCGCCCGCCGCGAGCTCGCCTGTCGCGCTTGTCCACCGCCCCAACGTGCTTCGCCCGCCGCCCCTCCTGCCTGCTTCGTCCACCATCGCCCCGCTCGTCTCAGCCCCGTCGTCGCGCTACCCGCTAAAGAAGACAATAGAAGAGAAGAAAATAAAAGAGAAAAGAGAAGAAAGAAGAGATGTGAGGCCCACATCATTCTCTCACTTACATGTGGGCCTCATATACTTTATTTATTTATTTTTTTGCTGACTAGGATGCCACGTCAGCGAATCAGGGTGTTTATACTGATATAAGGTGTAAATTGAACGGTTTCGTATAATTTAGGGGTGAAGATTTATTGAGGATAAGGGATATTAGACAAACTCGGTGTAAAGATGAGGGATGGCAGGTGAACTTATTCCACAAACATATGGGCCGACTGCTTATGGGCCTCCAAACGGCCCATGAGTCTGCTCGCAACAGTCTTCCTTCCCTTCCTTTCCTTCTCATCCATGGCTACTCCAGCCTAGGGGGAGTAGGGAGATCGATCCGCCTCCGCCTCCGCCTCCGCCATGCTCCCTCCTACTCCACCAATCCGGCCATGACCAGGGCTCGCCGCCATGCCTCCCCGCGCCCGCACCCTCCTCATGCCGCTTGCGGCGGCGACGCTCCTCGTCGCCTCCACCATCTTCCTCTTCGCCGCCACCGGCGCTCGATGGCGACCCGCCGACACCGGCCTCCCGGTCCCCGCCGCCGACTTCTCTGCGGCCGTTATAGAGAGCGCGGTGACCGACGCCGCCGCCGCGAAGGAGGAGCTCTCGTTTGTTGACGAGAATGGCCGCCCCGACGACCCCGCCTCCAGCTCGGCGGCCGCCGCGAGATGCGACCCGAGCCACGCCGCCGTCAGGGTCTTCATGTACGACTTGCCGCCGGAGTTCCACTTCGGCCTCCTCGGCTGGTCGCCGCCGACAGATGGAGCCGCCGACGCCGCCATGTGGCCGGATGTCGGCAGCGGCGCCGCCGCCCCGCGGTACCCCGGTGGGCTCAACCAGCAGCACAGCGTCGAGTACTGGCTCACGCTCGATCTCCTCTCCTCCTCGTCGCCGCCGTGCGGTGCCGCCGTCAGGGTCGCCGACTCCCGCGACGCCGACGTGGTGTTCGTGCCGTTCTTCGCTTCCCTCAGCTACAATCGCCACTCCAGGGTTGTGCCTCCGGAGAAGGTGAGCAGGGACAAGGGATTGCAGGAGAGGCTGGTCAGGTATCTGATGGCGCAGCCGGAGTGGAAGAGGTCGGGTGGCGCCGACCATGTCATTGTCGCGCACCACCCGAATAGCTTGCTCCATGCCCGGTCAGTGCTGTTCCCGGCGGTGTTCGTGCTGTCTGACTTCGGGAGATACCATCCTAGAGTAGCCAGCTTGGAGAAGGATGTCATTGCCCCTTACAAGCATATGGCTAAGACGTTTGTGAATGATTCTGCTGGGTTCGATGACCGTCCGACATTGTTATACTTCCGGGGAGCAATTTTCAGGAAGGAGGTAACACAATTAATAACTTTGCTTGCTCATTCAAGCTCTACAAATCAAGTTCATGCTCTCTGAGGTTAACATAATGTTGATAGCGGTGTCTTGTTTAGTTTCTTTGCTTTCCTTGAGTATTACAGTTTTATTGCAGCTGCTATCTGAAACGACAAGAACTCATCTTTTGTGCCAAGGAAAGGCCTTGTAGGCAAACTAGACAAAACAAACCTTGACAACTTCCAGGGTATAGAATGTGTGTTTGCTTGTTTATGGTAAATTGTGTACATAAAGTGTTTGTTTAGCTCCTTTTTTCCTCTTCATGATACTCTTGTGCAGTGGCGGACCCAGCATAAAATATTAGCTATGGCGGACTTTCTAAATGTACTTAGCACCGAGACATTTTTTTATAAAAAAAAACACGAACATATACCAAAACATTAGTATATAATGTATATGATAAAAAAAATTAGTGTGCATATCCAATAAAACTATAAGTAAATAATTTACTGTTTTCAATATAGGTGAAGATTGATTCCTGGAAGGTGAGCCCCTATAGCCATCCAAATGTTCCCATTCCAAATTACCCTCCAAATATTTGTGGTTAGCGTTGAAAAAATAGTAATTATACGTTTGCTCAATTCCTTAAAGAACAATTCCAGCCGATGCAGTTGCATCATCACTTGGACAATGCATGATAACTTGTTCCACCATACCAGTATTAGCTTGTACTAGTACTAATACTAAAAGATTAGTGCTTATTGCCCCCATCATCACGGTAACCACCAATGAAACAGTCAGTAGTTTTGTTGTTTAGTTGATAGTTACTGTTGGCAGATAGTTATGGCAGCTGCCACACCTTGCCACAAGGGAAGGTCCACCACTGCTCTTGTGTATGTTGTTCTTTGGTCACTGGGGTAGTAACCGATCAAGTGCATGTTTTGTCTACCTGTACCTTCCTAAATTGGATTAAAGTCATGCATCCCTCCTGCATGCTCCCTCAAAAGAAAAAAAGAATGAGAATTGGTCAGGATAGGTTAATAGAGGGTGGGCTAACTGCTTCAAACGTGCAAATGGAGCTTGTTGGAACTGCAATATTCTGTCTGACTCAAGGTAGACAAGAGTAGTTCCATTTGTTCAAAGTGCAGGACTCATGACCCATTCATGAATTTTGGAATAAGATACGTTTTGACTGCACCGGTACAGAACTCATGATCTTATGATCCATTTACGAACTTCTTGCTGAGTATGACTACACTAGTAATCTCCAAAATTCCTAAGACCAGCAAATTAACAGATGTTCCAAATATATGAATTGTCAAAAGTTTCTGTCAAGTTAGACAAGAGTAGTTCTGTTTGTTCAAAGTTCAGTACTCATGATCCACTAATAAATTTGGACTAAGATATGTTTTGACTGCACTGGTACAGGATATATGATCCATTTATGTTCTCTTACTGAGTATGTCTACATATTAATCTCCAAAATTCCAAAGACCAGCAAATTAACAGATGTTCCAACATTTGAATTGTCAAAGGTTTGAATGCTGAGATATTAACAGATGTTCCCTATTTCAATCATCTGGATTAAATAAATTTACTGTGTCAAAACTTAATTATTGTCAGCTGGATGTGCATCCTTTTCTAAAAGCTGATGTTGATACATGTATAGTTTAGGTTACTGGTTTATCTGTATTCTCTATATGTTACAAAACTAGTGATTCATGGACTAATAAATTGTGTCATTTTTGTCCAGGGAGGGAACATTCGGCAGGAGCTACATTATATGCTCAAAGACGAAAAGGATGTTTATTTTGCCTTTGGAAGTGTCCAGGACCACGGGGCCAGCAAAGCCAGTCAGGGAATGCACGCATCAAAATTTTGCCTAAACATTGCAGGGGACACCCCTTCTTCCAATCGCCTGTTTGACGCTATAGTAAGTCATTGCGTCCCTGTTATCATCAGCGACGACATCGAGCTTCCTTATGAAGATGCATTGGACTATTCGAAGTTTTCCATCTTTGTTCGCTCATCTGATGCTGTGAAAAAGGGTTACTTGATGAGACTTATTAGAGGAGTAAGTAAGCATCAATGGACAATGATGTGGAGAAGGCTGAAAGAAGTGGATAAACATTTTGAGTATCAGTACCCATCCCAGAAGGATGATGCAGTCCAAATGATCTGGCAAACATTGGCTAGAAAGGTGCCAGCAATCCGCCTGAAGTCACATAGGTCTAGAAGATTTTCTAGATACGATAGAGGAGGAAAATAAACATGGAGAAGATCCATAAGTCTGAAAGATTTTCAAGATCTGGCACAGGAAGAAAATAAACAGGAAGGCGGTGTATGCATGTTATCTAGGGCCTTGGCTAATCTAACTAGCATTTCACTGACACATCCGTTGTACACGTCTCATGGTTTCATGAACATAATCGGATTAGCAAGGAACAGTGAGATGTAAAGATATCATGTTAATTGTTGGTTATTCCTTAGAAAGAGGACCCATAGCTTAGGTTAGGCTGTCCAACGGAAGTGTATACTGGCAGGCAAAAGATTGTTGTTTTTGTAACATATACTCTTAAAAGTAAATTAAAAGAGGGTGGCAAAGTTCTTTTTCTGAACATGATGTTGTGGCATTAGATTTGGTCATATGCGAGATTAAGCTGTCTTATGTATTGATGAGTAAGTTTTGCATTTGCTGTTGGCACTATGCTGGAGCTGTATCATTTCATCTGTTTTCTGCATTCATATTTCCATGTATCACATGAAGAAATCCTGCATGCAAAAGGTCCTTGGTTAGCTGGTTTGAGCAGCTCTTGGGCATCAGTTATCGTACCCTAAGCTTGCAATAGAGCACACCCTTCGAGGACGCTATTGTTGAACTGAAATAAGGTCCAAGAAAAGCTCAAAAATCACGGGCAAACTCTTGAACAGAGATTGCTTTCTTCCCATATCCTGATAGCAGCGAAATCTGTATTACAGCTCTATTCTAATGAGCTGTCTGCAATTATGCATGTATCTGCAATTATTCTAACGAGCTACCTGAATCTGCAGTTTGCCGCTGGCAATCATCAGGAAAATAAGAACCACAGGTCTCTTTTAACAGGGTAACCATTTATACATTTGATATGAACAGAAATAACATGGTTCTTGTTCAGAGTACATTTGGGAACAGGGAAAGCAGAGCAGGTGATCATACAGACAACCAAGCCTGACTAACAGACCTCTAATAACCAAGCTTAAGCTAGACTTAGTCAACCTAAAAGGGAAGTATCAAGTCGGTGACAAACAGCGATAGATCAGGAACAAATAATGCAGAAGCCATCGACAACAACTGGTAGTAGAAAAGATTAAATGTGATCTTCATGATTGCATCAGTTTTCTTCAACATACTCGCCAGCTTTCAGTTGTTGCAACTTCACACCAACGTTCAGAGTCATATTCAGCAGTTATCCTGCTTTGCTTACACAGCAGCTAAACCTGCCCACTATTAAAATTTGTACAAATTCAAAAGATCACATCAAAGTGACAGTTTTTGCACTCAAAACAAGACTTGTTATCTATGTTCCAGATATAACAACGGAATGCCATTACTCCATTAGAATGATGATCACATAAAGGCCGTGCATCCAATAGACGGATTGCAGGCACTGTTGTAGTGCTCTGCACGGCTTCTAAAACCCTACAAACTTTTGCAATGTTGCAAACCAAGAAAAGATGCTGAGCTGATTCAGGTTGATACACAAGTCAAGTCATGAGGGCATTTTTTTTTTTAACTTTGAACGTTTATTTAGTAAAAACCACATTGTGGAAGAAAAACCACGATTTTCAAAAGGATCTTGCAATTAGAGTCCGCATCAAAGTTCAAAACCAAGGAGAAATTAGAGTCCACATCAGCCATGCATAGCAAAAAAGACATGGATTTTAACAGTGCGTCTTCCAAATTTCTCAAGGACACAAGAAAATATTTGATTTGTATATCATTGAAGGGACTGTCCTCAAACCATCAAGGTTCCGTTTGGTCCACAGAATAGAATTCTGTATATCATCCTCTTTAAGCTAATAATTGATTGATATAAACCTACGACATCATTGAAAACATGGCATGCTAATATACATGACATTGAACTGTAGTGGAGGGATACTATATGGACATACTCCCTTGTTTCACAATGTAAGACTTTCTAGCATTGTCCACATACATATAGATGTTAATGAATTTAAACACATACATATGTCTAGATTCATTAACATCTAAATGAATGTGGACAATGCTAGAAAGTCTTACATTGTCAAACGGATGAAGTATTTTAAAACCAAACTACAAACTAGGATGAAAACAAGGTTTCAATGATAAATAAGCAAAAATTGGATATGCCCAAACTCACAAAAGTAAGCTCAACAAGTACAATGCTAACATATCTATGCACATGTTCAATTGCAAACATTTGTATACTACGGTACTACCCTAACACATTCTACACAAACAAAAAGCGCTTTTACATCCACTATTGCCAAACAGGATCTACGAAACTACTCCATTGAATAGAAGAACCACGCAACACACATTGACTAATACGAAAACAGCTATGATGAATAAAAATCCAAATAAAAAAAATCGTCAATAAACAATGGCTGAAAAAACGCAAACGTTGTTATATGTTTGTTGTTTGGGTGAACCCGCGCGGCCATCATCGCACGCGCTCCGACCGCGGGCAGTCGTCATCGCTCACCGCCGGCGACTGCCACGGGAACCGAACCCGCCTCTTTCCCCCAACAAAGCGCGCCACCTTCCCGCCAACCGTACGAGGACGTCGGTGGCGGCGCGAATGTCGGAGAGGCGACTCCGGCCGCCGCGGCGCCGCCGGACGGCAAGCTCGGATAAGATCAAGTAGTGTTCGTGAGGGTCGAAACCCTAGCTCGCCGCCTCCTCCCCCCATGGCCTTTTACAAGCGAAAAACTAGCCCACAAGTTGGGCTCGCGAAGGCCCAACTAATTCTAGCCCGGCCCATAGTGGTCCACTAACTATCCCCCATGGCCCACTAGAGCTAAACCCTAATCCCCTCGCTATAAAATCACTCTCTCGAAGCGATCTCTCCCCTTCGCCGCCGCCTCTCTCCCGCACCAAGCCGCCTGAGCCCTAGCCGCCGCCGCCGCCGCGCGCCACCACCGCCGCAACCATGGCCGCCGCGCTCACCCGCCCGCCGCCAGGCACGGTCCAGTGCTTCGGGCGCAAGAAGACGGCGGTGGCCGTCTCCTACTGCAAGCCGGGGCGCGGGCTGATCAAGGTGAACGGCGTCCCGATCGAGCTGATCAGGCCGGAGATGCTCCGCCTCAAGGCGTTCGAGCCCATCCTGCTCGCGGGGAGGTCACGCTTCAAGGACATCGACATGAGGATCCGCGTCCGCGGCGGAGGGAAGACGTCGCAGATCTACGCGATCCGCCAGGCCATCGCCAAGGCCCTCGTCGCCTACTACCAGAAGTACGTCGACGAGGCATCCAAGAAGGAGGTCAAGGACATCTTTGCCCGCTATGACCGCACTCTACTCGTCGCCGACCCCAGGCGCTGCGAGCCCAAGAAGTTCGGTGGTCGCGGCGCCCGCGCCAGGTTCCAGAAGTCGTACCGTTGAGCGCTCGCCGGATCGATTCGGAGCGGTGTTCTCTTTTCCACCCTATCAATGGAGCTATTTTGCTGGTTCTACATCTAGCTACTGCTTTACTTCAAGTTTAGTCTTTTTAAGCTTAGTCCCGAACCTTTTTGACATTGTGAAATGGATGCGACTGAGGCGTTTAAGACTATCGTAGTCTCTGGAATATGGTTTTGCATGTTACCTATGTCCAGGGAAGTTGTGATACTATTGCCTTAATTAATGTTTATGCTATGTTATGAGTTTTATTCTAGGTGTTCTTATTCTGTCTGTTATGTGCAAATGGTTATGGTAATTGCTCTTTTGTTTAATATGTTGCTGTGAGTTGTTGGCTGCGTAGGCATTGTGTAATTTGTAATTGATAGGTTCATTTGTGTTATGTGAGTTTTTCTTATATTGTTTTCCAATGTTACAAAGGTGAATTTTGATTTGCTATAAATTAAGCCTCGCATTTTGATTAGCCTAACATAAATTGGTAGAAAAGCATATATTTTCTCATTATGTCTAAATTTTACCACCCTTTATACACGCTTCAGTTTTTATGGTAAAATGGGTTTTGGCTTGAAGTTTGTTCAACCTGAGAAATTGGAGCCAGCATTCATTGGTGTCAGAAGCTGAATGCTTTGTTGCTTTTCTTAGCGTTCAACATATTTTGTACTGGTTCTTTCTTTTCCACCTTATCAATGGAGCTACTTGGCTGGTTCAACATCTAGCTACTGCTAGTTTAGTCTTTTTTATGCTTAGCCCTGAACCTTTATGACATTGTCAAGTTGATGCAATTGAGATGTTTAAGACTCTTCTGTTGTGTTTGGAATATGGTTTTGCCTGTTACTTATGTTGAGGAGTTATCGTATTATACTTGTGCTATGTTAAGATGATCCATTTTGGAAGTTGTGTTGCTCTGTCTGCTCTTGAATTATTGCTATTATTTGTGGTTGGGATATACTCATTTCAGGTCGTGTGGGTTTCAAATTTCAAGTAATTTCCACTGAAATGCTCGTTTGCTGTATGATCGCTGCTTATTATTGCTAGATGTAGTACTAATATTGTTGATGCATGTAGGTACTACCACAAGTACCTACCTTCATCAACAATACTCCAACTCTAGATGTAGTTACACAAATATGTTTAAGTTAGCTGATGTAATTGATGTCTTGAACTGTCATTGTGCTAAGGATGTCGTCAATTCCACATGGTATGTAAGAACAATCTGGCAATTCTATCTGGTATGCTTAGTGAAACTTAATTCTCAGTTCAGATGCCCATCCCTGAAGTTGATATTTATGATGTGCTTAGATTACAATTTACTATGAAGCCAACTTTCATTTAAACAAATGGCCTGCTACTTTTTATATTTGTATAATTTTTATTTGGTATAGCATAGTAGTAACGCTTTGAAGGGCATTTGTACAGATGATTTGTGTAGAGTTTGTGCTGTTTTCATTATAGACTATATCTGTGCTGAACTTTGATCCCATTTATTTTTTAGGTTTATGTTTTTAACTTTGTATTGTGGATTGTTCCATTAGCAGTCTATGAAAATTTAGCTATATTATTGTGTTGACTCTATCATGATATTGAAGTTAGCAGTAATTTGCATGGCTGTACGCCTGTGGATGACACAATTCTTAGTAGGGTCTGAGTGGCCTTTTTTTTTTTCTTTTCCTGTGCTGCTTTATTATGCAGTAATGCACATAATGTTTTTGTTATGGCACGTTTTAGAACACACTTCAACCATTCTCATTATATACTCATATTGTTCATTTTGTCATATGATGACTGTTTATCTTCCATGGTGGTGCTCTAGCAAATTGTTATAACTCTATTATTGTATTTTGAGAAATCTATGGTCCAGTCTTCATTTGGCATGAAAATCAAAATGTTGCTGTTACTCTAAGGATGTAGTTGTATGATTGATAGTAGTAGTTCTAATTGTGTTTCGTTTGAAGTATGATTGATTGCTAGTGGTAGTTCAAATTGTGGATTGGTGCATGTGTTGGTAGTTTGTTGTGCGGCTTGTTCCCTTGGTTGAATCTGTTATGGTTCGTTTGGTTATCTAACTCAGATGAGATGGTGAGTTTGATGTTAGCGCCTGTTCACTTTGATGCTAAAATTTTGGTAACTCGCCAAAATTTTAGCAGGATTTCTTATATAGTTACCAAAATTTGGCAACAAACTAAATGTAGTCACTTTTTTGGTAACTTTACCAAAACTTGGTAATGTTGAAAATGGTATCAAAGTGAATAGTTTTGTTTTGATGACATGATTTTTTTTTTGGGTCATGTTACCACAAGTTTGCACGCCTGGTCGAAACACAAGTTTGCACGGCTAGTCAAGCTTCCAGAAGTACAGCGAGGCCACTGGTTCGCAGTTACGAGCTGTTTCATCCGGACCAGCGATAAGCGCCGATGCTTTTAATCTTGCCATCTAGGCCACGGTTGATTTGGTTTAGTGCTTTACCGACAACCGCATGTTTTCTTGTGCCAACGGTGTTCATTAGCAAAGTTTCAACAAGAATACTAGAGTACAGGTTTACATTCTGCATCATCGATATGAGAGTAAAGTTTTGTGATGGCTATTCTTGCCAATTTCGATATACACGTACTGTTTTCCAAAGCCAATGACATCTACAGCAATTAAAAAATAACTTAGCATTTCAATTAAAAGAATTTGGTTGGTTAACATGTGTGCGCGGCATGTATGATTAGTAACACCTAATGAGTGTTACAACTTACAAACTTACACCTAATGTGCATGATTATTGATTAGTAACTGTGTGTTACCCTTAGGCCCTGTTCGTTTCCTCTAAAATTTGAGGATAAACTTTTGGATTAAAATGGCACGTTTTTTCAAACTGCCAAACGATATATTTCATGCGAAAACTTTCTACTCACTCCGTCCCATAATATAGCAACCTAGGGCATCTAAAATATAGCAACGAAGGGAGTATATGAAAGTTGTTCTAAAATATTAGATTAATCCATTTTTCAAGTTTACAATAATTAAAACTCAATTAATCACACGTTATTACCACCTTGGTCCCATAATATAGGACTGGATACCAGGTTTCTATATTATGGGACGGAGGGAGTATATGAAAGTTGTAGTCCTATGTTTCTATATTATGGGACGGAGGGAGTATATGAAAGTTGTAGTCCTATGTTTCTATATTATGGGACGGAGGGAGTATATGAAAGTTGTTCTAAAATATCAGATTAATCTATTTTCTAAGTTTGCAATAATTAAAACTTAATTAATCACACGTTTTTTTACGTGAAACATTTCGTGCTGACGTTGCTCCCGTCTCTTTCCCAGTAATGCCACAAGAACCAGAATCAGAATTGCCCCCCATCTCCTTTTCATTTCAGGTGATGAAATGAGGAACCACAACAGTAAAAAAATAAAAAAACAGAGAGAGAAGTGGGGTGGGGGGAAAGCACAAGGAAACTTCCCAACCCTCCAACCATTTCATGGCGATGAAATGAGGATCTAACCACACAGAAATCCCAAGCGGAGTTCCTAAACCCCAAGCGGATGATGATGCCTCTCTCATTTGGAGGAGGATGAGAAACCCCAAGGAAGGATCTCATTTAGAATCCAACGCATCCTCTTCTTTTATCTGTTCGTTTGTTGCGCTTGTTATTGGGGGCGAATCTACCATAGCTAATCAACGGTGCGAGTACCCCTATCTGGCTCTCCTGGAGTTGTTTCCTTGCAAGCGCTTGGAGACCAAGAACACTCACTGCCTAGGGCACTTGATTACTACTAACTAGGAGTTCAGTGACATTGTCCAACCTCTGTTTGAAATAAATTAAGCAGAGTATTTGTTCAAGCTCCCATGCATTCCCCAGCTTGTGCTGTGGTGTTGTTGCCAGGACTGTGGGAGCGGTTAGCCAGCACATGAAGCTAACAACAGCCGAAACTACAAGCGCAGCGTTTTTTCCCCTCATGTGTTAAACTATTGAATGTTCTAGTACATCTTTCTTTGGTACTTAATAAATGCATTTTCGATTGATCGTAGGGATACCAATATGTGCTCTCTATTGATATGCAGAGTTGTTGCTTCGTGAATTTTCTTAATGGCTACAGATGACGTTCATTATTTTTAGATAATACAGATGAGATGACATTCCTATCACACAACATCTGTATGCACTTATTTGCAAAGAAACTCTGTCGTTCGTAACATGCGCTTCATGTCAGGCATTGGGTAACAGCTGGTGCTTCTTGAGCTGCTTGCCTTCAGCATTAAGCAGTAGATGGCAAGAGGGAGGTTGCTAATTGGTTTGTTGAGTTGCCGCTGATACTTGAGCCGTCTCAGCTTCCTGCTCAGCTTCATTGGTGTCACTGGACACATCGACGATCATCTTGGAGACACGGAACATGGCCAGGTGGATGTCACCTGCAATGCAATACAATGCAAAAGGGGAACAAGCACAGTCTGAATGTCTGATCACAACGAAGAAGAAGAGATTCTGCGAGTTGTATGGATTATGCAGAGGGTTGTATGGATTAGCAGTAATAAGAAGTAGTACCAAAGATGAGGAGGCTGCCGGGATCGATAGGAGTGGGGAAACCCGGGGTGAGGCGCCTCTCGTTGATGTAGGTGCCATTCGTGCTCTCCAGGTCTGTTACCAACAAGCTCCCCTCTTTCTTCTCCAGCCGTGCGTGCGTCCCAGAAACTGCAATTTTCATGCCATTCCATTTCAGTTCATTTGCAGCAGCTTAGTTAGCTACATATGTCTGTCTGATGAATTGTGGACAGAGCAATCAAGTGAATGAATGAGCTGCTGCGTATACTGCTACTACCTGTTGCGACAGACAGGACGATGTCAGCCTGTTCAGGAACCCGACCCACCGTCACCGCCGCCTCCTGCACACACAACACAATACATTCATTCATCCAAGAAAACACCCGGCTGCAGCTGAGCTAGCACGGTTACATGGCAAGGATATCCAGAGAATTTCTGGGAAGGTAGAAACAAAGGGAGACATACGGATGCTATCTGGAAGCCGCCGGGTCGTGCGACGCGGTACCCGATATGACGCCAATCGCCGTCTCCTGCAATTCAACAATCAGGTGGACAACAATAAACTCACGAATATTGCTGCTGTGTTCTGTTTTGCAATTTTTTCTTCAGACCAGCTTAAAAGTTGGTAAGATGACGATACTATGATTAAGCAGGGAGGCACAAGCATGAGTCAATTCACTAGGGATATGGACATTGCATTACAAGTAAGTATCGAAAGCAGACTAACCTGCAGGCTCGAGAACCCATCTTTCTGAAGTGGCGGAAGAAGACGCGCTGTCAGTGCCACTGGAAGAGCACCTCAGCGACAAAATGGAAATGCTTCTTCTGCTACTCCCGTTGCTGTTTCTGCTGGTTAGCCGATTGATGAACAGCAACTGCGGCTGCAGCAGCTTGAAACCATGGGAGGCGTAGCTGCTGCTGCTGCTGCTGCAAGGAGGAGGAGGAGGCAAGCAGGAGGAAGGCCTCCTGGGGGTTGGGCTAGAGAAGAGCAAGGAAGGAGTAGCCACTGCTGCTTCCATTTGTGTCTGTGATTTGTGCTCACTGCTCAGCAGTGGCAGGGGAATGCAGTGCCTTGCTTTTTTGTTCGCTTCTTGATTTCTTTGTGGATCAATGGAGATAGAATTCAGGTTGTTTGTCCTGTGTTCAATGCTATCTCTGGACTCATGGCCAATCAGTTGCTCTTCACCTTCATCTGTTGGTGGTCGAGGTTCACTGCTTGGTCATTGTCGGATTCTCCTGTTGCCCTATGGTCCCACTCTGCTAGTCTGCTTCTGCTGTACTGTACACAAATATTTTTTTTCCTCAAACACATTTTTAAGAGTAATTTTAGATGAAACAATAACACTCCTCCAAATTTCACAGAAAAAAAAAGAGTACTCCAGGATTAACATTGCAGTAATCTTTTAGCAGTGCATAAATAGGAAAAATGCATAATGAATAATTTAGCTTGTTTGAGTCTCAAGAGAAGAAAAAAAAACACACAATGAATATTGTATCTGGTTGAGTCTCTAGAGAAATTTAGCTCCATTAGTTATTCTCCGAAGAGGGTTTGTTTGGATGACTCACCTGCATTGAGAAAAACTTGAGAATAAAGGTTAGTTAATCAGTGAGAGAAAGCGAAGGTGTATTCGAACTCTTCAAGCAAAATTTACACCCATTGGCTTGGTATGATGTAATGTAAGCTTCATCCATAGTATCAGTATATTCTATTAGCGGTTTTACACATTTTTCTTACAATATTTGTTTGTTTCTCCAGACGTGCAATGCAACACAGTTCACAGCATAGAAGCGTTAGTATATTTCCATATTATTATTACTCCAGTAGGAAAATATTCAATACAACCCACATCTGATTAATTAATCATTTAAGCAACATATAAATTTCAAAAACAAAATTAAACATCCTCTAAATTTCAAAAAGAAAAATTAAACATCCTACATCAGGCCAGGTCAGCAAAAAAGCCCAATACGCTTGGGGCCTAATGCTGTCTGGGCTTGGGCCGGCCCACTCAGGTCCACTTCCGGACCCACACGCCAGTCTCTCTCGCGAAAAAAAAAAGGTAATCGTGGTTAGCAACTTGCCCCTTCTTCCACAACGACGAACAACAACATCTCGCCACGAAGAGGAGGGCGAGAGCCTGCACGAGTCCGAAATCCCCAATCCGGGTTCCCTGCTTCTCTTCGCGCCAAGGTAAGATCTCTCTCAGATCTCTGTGCTTGGCGGTGCGGATCGGTTTTTTGTCATCAGTTGTCCTGATTTTTGTTCCGGGGTGTCTAATTTGGGCCCGATCCGATCAGATGGCGGCTGCCTGGGCGGCGGTGGTGGCCGTGATGCTCCTCCTTGCGCAGGTGTCAGCCGCGGCTCCGGTGATGGGGCCTGCCTTCCTCTGGGCGCCCAAGAACTACGGGTAACTTGTTGCCGCGCTTCTCTTTTTCATCGTTTCAAGCCTGAGATCCCTTTTGTTAGAAATGTATGAACGTGTTATTAATGTTAACGATTTTTAGTGAATCCTGTTGCCTCACTTACAAAATATTGCAACTTTGGTATATTAAAATATTACTCATGAGGTGTGCATGCAACTTAGAGGTTTCATGATCGGATAATTAATTTTCTCTGTATCTAAGGTCACACCCTTGACTCTAGCCCTGTGTGCCATAGATGATAGAATCTTTTTGGCCATTCCCAGGAGTGATCCTCGCATTGTCTCATGGGGTCCAGATCAACCATATTCCTTTGAAATTGCATCCTCATCCATCATTCTGTACAAACAATCAATATGGAGGTTTTTAAATCTATAACAACCATAAATCCCATAGCTGGATGATTTCGGAGTTTTCAACTTATACTGATCAGGCAGTTGTTACCTTGCACATTTCCTGCTACTATTTTACATCAGCGTGCCATTTTGCTGCAGAGAGTAAATTTATAATTTCTTTTGTCAAAGTACAATTCATTTGGTGGAGGGTGGAGTAGGGTGGTTGAGAGAAATCTCGGTTTGGAAGTAGAATAGTGGAAGGTTGATGTGAGGAAAGAATGAAACCCATACCCATTTAGTACCCTTTCATTTTTGTTCATGTGATCTGTTATATAAATATCAAAACCTTCTCGTTACAACGAAGAACAGAGATTGTCTTGTTGGTGCCACTTAGGTTTTGTGTTACAGATTTGTTCAGCTTTTCTAACATGCTCACTCATGTTTCTGTTGATATTAGGAAAGTCAAGTAGGGTATCAGTTAAAACAGGCCTCCATTTTTGCATTTGATTTTGCACAGTGCACACTGGAATATTATGGCTTGCTTCAAAAACCATTATCTGCTTAGATTTTGTTATCTCAGCTAGGGAGCTTTTCTATGTTTTCTCTATGGGGGTTGTAGTAATGCTGCACACTTATGCCTTAAGCGTGCTTTCCTTAGTAGATAGAGGTACATCCGTGCATGTGGCCGTTAGATATGCTGTCTTCTTGCGTGGAAACTTGCAATCCAACTGGAATCCTGCTAAAAGTTAGTTATAGAGCTCCATGGCTGGTTCTAAAAAAAGTACGATTTTTTTGGTAGCTTCGATTCTTATTTTATATGGACAATCTTTGGCCTCTAATTGAAAAAGAACTTGAAACCATGAGTTCCATTAAATAGGCTATGGGGAGTTCTTGAGCAATAACAACCCTTTTGCCGGAATGACCGAAGGAGGTCATTCAATGTAATTAAGATTGGAAGAAAAGTTACAAGAAAAGGTTTTACATCGACAGCTAGCTGTCGAGGAAGGATGTGCACCAGAGCACACGCCCCGAACCAAGTGCCAACCGTCCAAACACACGCTATAGAGAGGGGAGCCGAGCACCGAACCAGCCGTCGCTATGCGAGACCGATCGCCACCGGGCCAACAACACCACCACGATGCGAGGACTCTAAAACGACGCCCTCAGGAGGGTCGCGACGCCAAAAGACACTGTCGTCATCCGTCCCAAAAACGGGACAAGGTTTTCACCCAGAGCTCCTTGCCGAGGGAGGAGAGGTACCTCAACAATGCCCTCAGGAGGGTTACCATGCCCGAAAGCGTAGACACTGTTGGCCCAAAGATTGGGCTAAACTTTCGCTTGGAACCTCCTACTGCCATGGTCCGTTGCCCAATCCGAAACCACCATCTAAACATCGGCGGCACATGGCTTCCGCCACACCCAACCAACGCCCCACCGTTGGCCGGCTTCCAGTCTTGCCAACGACAAGACTGCCACAGCACCTGGATAATGAGAACACTAAAGCAGTGGAGTAATGCAACTTTGTCACTAACTGTTGCCTATGTTGCACCTGGTTTGTACTGTAGATGACAATGTCATGCATACCTCTGATAGTCTGATATGAGGGTCACCCATTTTTGTTGGTGCCTCACAGTTTTAGTTACTTGCTGGCTAGATTGGAATTACCACTTCATATTGAAAATATTTATGGACCTTTCTGTGGTTCTTTTAATCAAATTTGATCTGGGTTTAGTTGTTTAAGTTACATTTTATTTACCTTACTCTCCAGATTCTCTTCTGATGAGGCTAAAGAAATAGTCCATTATCAGACAGTATCCCCGAAGAGCTTAGTGAAATCTGTTCTTGAAGAAGGTGGTTGGTCAAACTTGGTGGTGAGTTGAGTTCCCCCCACGTCCTAGTTGATGCACCTCAATTCACGAACAACTGGCCAACTTCATTGCAGTATCTGTTCTTATTGTGCACAAAATTTAAGTCTTAAACAATTCATAACATTGTGATTTTATTTTTAGTGTTCAAGGGAGGATCATGCAAAGAGTGTTGATGTTGCAGTTCTTTTTCTTGGCTCGAAGGTACTTATTGACTCCCATTCATTCCGTACTGTTTGTGAACTAGTGTTTAGGTCTTCACTGGTTGCAATGTGTGCATAATTATCAATTCACTCCACATTGATAAAAGAACTGGAGTGCATTTCTTCTTAGTGTTTCTGGTAGATGGTAATGATCAATACTAAGAGGTTGTAACATTGCCAAATTCTCATGTTTGAATCTGTATGTCAAATTATTGCTAGACCAAGTAATTCATGTTATGATGTTGTTTCAATTTTTCAATGCGTCAGTTGAAACTGACTGATAACTTATTGTTCCTGTAGCTACAATCGTCAGACATTTCTAAAGATAAGCAAGCTGATTCTACTTTAGTAGACACGCTGAAGGTATTCATAATTGCTCTTCTTTTGCCCTTCCCCCATATTTGTATCTCCCCTTTTTCAGATAATGGATTAAACCGACCTCGATATCCATAACGGATGTACGCATCCACATATTTGTATCTCCCGTAGTTGTTATATAACTGAAAGCTTAAAGATTTCTAAATGCTTATAACATATATGTTCTTTACTAGAACTCGTTTGCAAGCTCCGAGTTTTCGATGGCATTCCCCTACATTGCCATGTCAGATGATGACAAATTGGAGAAGTCATTGCTATCTGGGTTTGCTGAGAATTGCAACAATGGTTTCGGAGATAATCATATCACCTACACAGACACCTGTTCTGTAAGTGAAGATCTGAACAAACATCACAACATGGATTCCATTCATGTAAGTTTTTATAGTTCTTTTGGTACTTCTTCCAATTCCTCTTTTCCATTTATTGACCACATGTACATTCCAGGGATTGGTGGCATCACAAACTAAAAAGAACCCGAGTGGACAGACTGATCTGATTGTCTTCTGTGATGGTGGTTTCAAGGATAACACAAAATCAGAAGGTTAGGTCAAAGATGCTAGGTTGGTGTTTTCACCTCGAATATACAACTGTACCCTAATGTTTTGCTGTTGTTTCTGTAGGGGAGTTGCTTTCTGAGCTGGTTACTCTGCTGAAGAAGTCTGGAGCTAAATATACGATTCTTTATGCTTCTCAGCCCTTTGGTTTGCTAGAGAACCCTTCAAACCTACCATTAGGCAGGTACCTCGCAGAGAAGACCAATACTACTAAACCTGGCCGTGGAAAATGTGACGGGGAGTGCTTAGTAAAATCAACTCTGCTGGAAGGAAGCTTTGTTGTAAGTTGTCTCATGGACTCCTATGTTTTTGTTTACCTTTCTTTCTGTCAACGTGAACTTAAGCCCGTACATATCAAACAAAAACGGTAATCAGTTTAGTAGTAGTTCAATGTTGTCGTTGGCTTGACTGCAAACTGCGAATTACATCTTTGCTACTTCACCTGTAAAATGTTTATCTCTATCAATATCTGTTATCCAAGAGTTATTTTCTCACAGTTATGTATTATATGCAGGGAATAGTGCTGCTGATCATCTTGATATCAGGACTCAAATGTATGATGGGAATTGATACCCCATCAAAGTTCGACGCTCCCCCGGAATCATAAGCCCATTTTAAAGCAGTTCTGAATGGAAACTCAGGGCAAGTGCTAGGGAAAAATTGAATAGCTGATGTAGCAGGAAATGTATTGTGCATATAGTAAGTTCGCTACTTGATGCCTTATGTATTTTAATGAGCCAGCTGCAATTTGCAGTCAATTTTTGGTGGAATATTACATTTCAATACGTACAAGTGCAAGCCTTGGGTTGTACCATATAACACTGCCTCCAGTGTTTGCTGTGTGAATAAGCTGGAATTCAGGACTCCGAGTAGCCAATAAGATGTTATACAATTCATCTAATAAAACCTTGTGATTCTTTCATACATATACTGTGAACAAATCCATCATGAATATCTTTTCTCCGGAATTGCATTGCATTTGATTCTCTGTAGGTGAAATACAGTCTTGTACTCTCATTAGTCCTTTTGCCAGCTGAAGATGTTTCGTTATTAATGGTTGTTGCTTATTCTATAGGTTATTACTTGAGAGTTTGTGGTGCTAGCACCCTATCATTTATCATTACTTGTTAATCAATCAATCGCGTAATATTTCAATCATATTTCGCGATCCATTACCAGTCTGATTGTGACAGTGATTAAGGTACTTTGCGCCTGAGTGGTTCTGCCTTTCACTGGTGATGTTACTGTCAGAGAAACCTTATTGCTCAAGTGATTACATGATTCAGATGGGAAGCGATTGCCATGTTTCGACAAAACAAGAAAATTGATGGACTACACGACTATATGCACTCCTTTCCTCTCTCTGGGTCAATTTGTCCTTTATGCTACAGGTCTATCTAATCTATATATCTTTGCTTAGCACTGAAGTATATCTGGAAATTTGTGGCACCTACATAATTAATCATATCCTATGATTATAAAATTGCATGACTATGTTTTCCTTAAATGTTGTCGTCCCGTTAGAGAAGGAAAGGGATTAAGTACTAATACCTCCGTCTTATAAAAAAAAATCAAACACTGAAGATGATTTTAAATATAGTGTATGTTCAGATTTTTTTTCTTAGAATTTAAATTTTTATTATGGGACGGAGCGAGCGAGTACATCGCCAGATAATTCTATCTGTTTACATAAATTAACGGGAGATAATTAATGGGTGGACAATAACTTCCTAAAGCAGTACCTTTTTAACCAAATCATCATCTATGTAATCATGCTAATCATTGAAAAATAAGATGTCAATAATTAAGATGATTGCTATAATGTTTTGTTACGGATCAGATGATAAACATTACGTCATCCGTACACATGGAGCACTAGTGAGATGAAGGCATATATACAATCCAAAAGCAATTCTCCTTTGCGTGCTCTGACGAAACTGTTTCTTGTTCTTGTTTTTCTTGACCAACACCCTCTACAAATGCTGCCACTTGTTCAGACTTCAGATACGTCGAACTACTAAATTCTAGAAATACTCTCTTTAGGTTGCTAAATACACATGTACGGCAACGAGATCTCCTTGCTACTACTGTCCATTACAATCTATTTACTACTCTTTAATTAGCGGTTGAAACCGATTTTGCTGAAAGTAATTTTGGTCAGACTGCAACGCTTGAGATTTCCAATTGTCGGCAACAACGACAGCATGTTGGCCCATAGATAGGTTGCCACATAAGTGCTTGTTTGCATGGTTCTTGGGGGTCATGCATGGCATGCAACTCTCAGTCTCAGCTGCATGCAAGCGAGAAAGATACTCGAGAGTTGCAACTTTACAATCAATGGACAGGCATATCATCTTTAATTTTAAAACTGAAGGTACTATGTAGCTAGCACTTGGGAGTAAAGAAACTCCATTTTGTGATGTGATGCTGAAAAGATCATGTATCCATCTGAATTTAAGATGAAAAAAATGATGCATAATTTATTATATGCATTGTTCTTTGTTGGATGGTTCCTGAGTCCAAAAACTGCAATATGGCACAGCAGAAACCTTGCTTGCACCTGATTTTTAGGCAGGAAAGATGCCCAGATGCAGGTTGAAACGTACTCATATAGTCATATACTCCCTCCTTCCCTAAATGTTTGACACCGTTAACTTTTTTAAACATGTTTGACCATTCGTCTTATTCAAAAACTTTTGTGAAATGTGTAAAACTATATGTATACATAAAAGTATATTTAACAATAAATCAAATGATAGGAAAAGAATTAATAATTACTTAAATTTTTTGAATAATACGAACGGTCAAACATTTAAAAAAAAGTCAACAGCGTCAAACATTTTGAGATGGAGGGAGTATAATTCTAATCTTACTTTCTTTTTGCATTTTACAGTGCAGACAAGCTGGATCCCAAATCCATGGCTGGCCTGAAAACTTATCAGTTACTACTGCATTATTGGTTACATCTCAGCTAGCAGCCGGTAACTGCACCTCAATCTTCAGGTTTATTCATCGAGGCATTATTACTAAGTTATATGAGTTCTATAATTTTTGTAACAAACCGACACAAGAAGATGTCAATTTGAATAAAAGAGAGTTTTGTCACAACCCCAGCTCTAAGGGCAGGGATTTCAATTTCGGTTTGAAATTTCTGAAATTTCGATAATTTCCCTCCCCTCCGGCGAGCAAATATCTTGTCCGAATTTTTCGAACATTTTCATTTTTATGGATTGGTCAAAATTTATTCAAAATTTATTAAATTTTCAAACAATTTCAGGCAAAAAAAGGGTTCTGAAATTCCCCCAAAAAAAATGGAATTTTGGTTACACCAAAATTTTTCGGTGAAAACCGAAAGTAAAAACCCTGCCTAAGGGTAGGAAATTAAGGTCTGTACACACCATATGATGGGTTCCATATACTCAAGGCACAAAGAATTAATTGGCTCCATGTAAACACATTATGCACAATATTTTTTCTTTACTGAAGAAGGAACAAAATGTCAAAAGCTGAGTAAGCAGCGCTAGCATCTAGGTGTAGAAAATCCGTGTCCGTTTCCTAATTCAGAGCTGCCATATACAGATCCAACAATAATTAAACATGGTCATATATAATTAATTCAGAGCAGCCAGATACAAAAGATTATTCATGTCGTTGCTATCGATCCTGACATTGGTTACTAGCTAGCAGCTGGCTTGTATATATTTCGATTATTCTCTTAGCTAGGTATACATAGATACTACGCCGTTTTCGTGGTTAACTTCTCCAAAGCCAACTAGCTTATTAGTGTATATCACATGACAATATGACATCACCACATGGCCTTGCATGCGCCGTCCAACTTATACAGCGAACTGGCTGCACGTGATTATCTGACAGTCAATTTATTCTGACAGTGCTTAGCTAGCTTGCACCAAGCTGTAGTGCTGTGCTTGCTAGCTGTGTTAACCTCAAGGCCACACTCCTAACTTGTGTAGCAAGCTTACATACAAGACAAGATTAGGAAAAGGAAAAGGGTAATAAACTGATTGTGCTTTCTGCTTTGCACCTGATAAATACTCTCTCACTCTTGTTCATTCCTTTGCACCACTTCTTTTGATTGGCACCAGTCTAATCCAACCAATGTTGCAATTTACTCCATGAAGAAATAAGTGACATGTACCATGGTACAAAATGCAGCATGTGCACAAAAGCAAAATATATACGATCACAATAAAGAACAAACAGAAGAAGTCTCATCCACAAATGCCACCAAATTAAAGGCTAGAGTATTATATAGCAAGTTCCAAAAATATGTGCCGCAAGAGAACATCTATCAATCAGCATTACCAGCAAGAAACTCACGAAGCAAAATGTCATGATCTTTGTACAGAAGACCAAAACTAAACAACAAAGCAATCAACAAAATTGCACGAATGTATAGCTATATAGTATATTCCTAATAATTCGATGACCAAACGACCATGCAAAGTATCCAGGCACATGCTCAATTCAGTAGTGCCGTAGCTAGCCGATCGAGCACCAAAAATTCTCAGCACGTAATTAAGCAGCAGCAGCAGCAGCACTAGCTATTACGATGAGTCCCATAGATAAGCATCATCTAACTTGTACTGCGGCATGCCAAGAGGATTTGGGAGACGAATGACATCTCGTAGGGCTTTCACCATTGCTGCCTGGTGCTGCAAGCTGTAGCTGCTTCCAATTCCATGGACTCCTCCTTCAGCTACAGGAGGAGGTGGAGGCATATTATTCCAAGAGGAGACATTGCTGCTGCTGATGCTTTTGTTGATCAAGCTGCAGTAGTTTGGCTGCTGCTGGAAGCTACCAGCACTAGCAGTACCAGTCGTCGTCGTACTTGCACCGTAGTTGGCAGCGACGACGGAATTGGACATGTTGGGCGGCGCCGACAAGATGTTGGCAGCTGATGAGTTGCTGAAGTAGATGCTGGGGTCGATGATGGAGTCGAGCTGGAACAAGTCGTCGTCGTCGTCGCCGGCTTCGACGGAGCTGCCGTTGTTGGGTGTTCCGGCAGAGTACTGATCAACAGCTGCAGCCTGTGCCTGCTGCTTGTTGATGGCTTCGCGATCGTCTCCCTTCTTGTGGAATACCTTGCACACAACCCACTCATCCTTGACCCCCCCAAAATGTCAGAACAGGTCACAATTTGTGTCAAGTTCAAGATAATTAAACATCTAGCTAGCTAGCTAATTAAGCAAGTAATTAATTAAGCTGCGTGAAACGAAATAATATAATGTGAATACCTTGAGGTTGAGACGAAGGTTCGGGTTGTCGTTGTGGAGGTTGGCGTGGAGACGGAACTCGTGCATCACCCAGTTGGTCTTGGTGCCCTTGGGAGCTCTCCCCATGTAGAACACAAGCGTCTTCTTCATCCCAACCAGCTGCTTATTATTCTTGTTGTTGCTGCTGCCTCCATAGCTGGTAGGCTGCAGGTTGAAGATCTCCCTGTCCTTGCCGGTGGCCTTCCAGTATCCCTCCTTGGTGGCTCGGTTGGTTCGCATCCCCGTCGGGTATTTCATGTCCTTGTGGCTGAAGAAGTACCATTCTTTCTCCCCCATCTTCGCCTTGCCTTCAATTCAAATTAATTTGTATCAATAATCAGATTCATACATGAACAAACAAATTAACATCAAGAGCCAAGCAATTGTGCATCTACATCTCTACAGCTATCTAGTCTAGACTCTAGAGAGAAGAAGAGAATTAAGGATGTAAGCATATGAGACTTGAGGCTTACTTGGGAGATCCCATGGCTCGCACTTGTTGAGGTCGACCTCGCCGATTGGCAAGGAGGTGAAGCTAGGGTTGAGGAATTTCTGCAGGAGGTAGCTCAAGATTACCTCCGCATCTGTGGGATGGAATCTGAAGCCTGGAGGCAAGAACAAGCTGCCATCTTGCTCTAATTTCACAAGGGATGTACTAGTCTCCACCATGCTTGCTAGCTAGCTTGAAGCTCACTGCTGATCGAGCAAGCAGAAGCACTAGTAGAGAGGAGAGGAGGAGATAGCTTGGTGGCACAAGCAACAAAGGTGGAGACGACGCGCGATGGATGAGAAATGGAACAGAAATGAAGGGGATAAAGGTATAATGGAAAGCAAGAGAAGGCAGCGAGTTTATTTATAAAGCTTTGAGACCCTTTCCCTGGTTTTGAGGTTGCTAGCAAGGAAGCCCACAAAAATCTTGGTTAGCAAGGAAGACAATTCCTCACTCGGTTTCATTATGATAAAGAAATGGATGTACTATGATTAAGTGCGGCTCTTGCCATATGAAGAATATCATGTCCGTCAAATTAATCGGATTTATACAAGTTGAGCTTAATTACATCCACATCTATCTTATAGTCGAATTATTATTATATTTTTCTTCTATAATCCTCAATCTGTTTTGCCAGCTAGTGCTGATGACAGCGACGGCTAGGAACCGACCTAAAGAGAAACCAACCGTCGTCCATAAGGCTTCTATGGTACGATAAGGCGCCACTTGACTTCTTTATTTTCATGTATAGTGCTGACAAAGATACAAATCACTGTTCTCATCTGCTAATGGCAATAATTTTTTTCTTTCCTTTTCTCATCCAGCTGGGAAAATTCAGCTAGGCGCTTGTCTATTCTTCTTTGATATTTTTACTGTTGAGTTTGTGCAGGTCATTCCTCAATTTCAAGGAAAAAAAACTTTACAGGTCTTAGTTTCAGAAGTTTATATGTATGACTGTTTCGGGCTGCAATTGCCGTCATCATGTTGATTATATATTAACTGTACTACTGCTGGTAATTTCTTGGTAATTGGTCATCTTGATCTGTTTTTACAAATTACTAATTACATTTAGCGCCTAGTCAGATCCCACTATATATGTACACGTACTATACAGGTAGCAGTGCATGAGCTGGGCGTGCCAGATGCATGTGTTTTCTAACCTGTTATTGTTCTTGCGACGACGTCGGTGCAGCTAGTTAGCTAGTACGAACTCTGCTTAATATAAGTGTCAACTGCGTATTAAGTGCATTTAGTTAGGCCCAAAGTTAGTTTAACAGTTGAACGAAACATACATGCAGCAGCAATACATATTTGACTGTTGGTCTTAATTGCCAGCAACGTGTGTATATATATTAGGCCATTCTGTACAGTACTCCTATTCGTACATGCATATGGTCAAAGAAACAGTCTGCATCGATCATGAAAAATATATAATGACGGCTGTTCATACTTCATACCTTCAGGGTTCAGGCTGCAGGCATATATACAGCTAGCATGCATGGAAGTCTCTACTATCCAAGTTGGATCAGCTCTTAGACCATGCGAGAGCAATTAAGCTACTACTTCCTCCGTTTCATGATGTAAGTCATTCTAACATTTCCCATATTCATATTGATGTTAATGAATATAGATAGATATATATGTCTAAATTCAATAACATCAATATAAATGTGGGAAATACTAGAATGACTTATATTTTGAAACGGAGGGAGTATATAACATGTGCTAATATATATCTGTGCACATGTGTACATATATATGCCTTAATTTCCAGAGCACACAAAATGTGTGGTCCACTTTATCTGTTCGGCCGGGCAGGGGCGCATGCATGCAAGTTGGATTTGGAGGCCGGGCGGATCGAGTTGAAATTAACTTGCTAGCTAGCTAGCTCCATTTGTTGACCGGCGACTCATATAATTAGGTAAACTCATCTGCTCCACATGTACGGCTCCTCAAAAGAGTACTCTATATTATATTTTTCCTTTGAAAAAAAATGGTACTACTAATTGGTTCTATGAAAAGGTAGAATTTATATTTCATGATACTCAAAATTTATAATCTTTCTTTGCTACACACCTAAGAAGGTCCATTGGATAGCATGGGAGAAGATTACTAGTCCGAAAAGTCATGGAGGATTGGGATTTAGGGATATGAAATGTTTCAACCAAGCCTTACTAGCTCGTCAGGCATGGAGATTGATTGCTACGCCAGAGAGTCTATGTGCAAGGGTTTTGAAAGCCAAATACTTTCCAAATGGATGCTTGCTCGACACTGCCTTCCCGTTAGTCTCGTCGCCGACCTGGAAAGGCATTGAACACGGCTTGGAACTAGTAAAGCAAAGAATAATTTGGAGGGTTGGAAATGGTGATAACATCAAGATCTGGAGACACAAATGGGTGGCACATGATGACCGGCTTATAACTCTGAAAAAGAGGGTGAGGAATAGATTAATGTATGTTAAAGATCTAATGGATGCAGGCTCCAGAAGCTGGAATGAGAATTTGATCCGCAATGTAATGCACAAGGAAGATGCTGACGAGGTTTTAAAGATTAGGCTGTCCAATCAACAACCTGAAAATTTCCCTGCTTGGCATCTGGAAAAAACAGGGTTATTTACTGTAAAGAGTGCTTACATGTTGGCCTGGAACCTATCTAAAAATGCTGTGGAGGCATCTTCAAGCACAGCAACATCAGGGGAAAGGAAACTATGGTTGGCTCTGTGGAAGACAAAGGTACAGGCTAAAATCAAGATTTTTGCCTGGAAGTTAGCACTTGACAGGTTACCAACTTGGGTAAACAAGTGCAGGAGAAAAATTGAAAGACAAAGTATCTGCCAAATTTGCGGATCAGCTGAGGAGGATGGTTTTCATGCAACGGTTGAATGCACAAAAGCAAAAGCACTTAGAGAGGCTATCAGAGAGGTTTGGCGATTACCTCCTGAAAACAAGCTTGCTAGAACTGGACAGGATTGGCTACTGTTGTTCTTGGATGGAGCTGATGAAGTTGAGAGAGCGCATACGTAATGTATGCTTTGGCGTGCATGGCATCTTCGAAATGAGATGGTACATGGTGCTGATTCCAGTCCTATATCTGTCTCTATCAACTTCTTGGTTAATTATGAAGCATGTCTGTTGCCTGTCCGACAACAGATTGATGACAAGAAGGGCAAGCGACCAATGTTTGAGGAACTGACAGAAAAAGTGCATGCCAGTGCTGTGCAAATTGCATGCATGGGAACCTCCACCGGAAGGTGTGGCTAAGGTAAACATTGATGCTGGATTCAGGAAGGAGACGGGTGATGCTTGTGCTGGAATAATTGTCAGAGATTGCAGGGGCCTGGTTCTTCTTGCAGCTTGTAAGAAGCTTCCAAGATGCAGCTCTGCTACCCAGGCTGAAGCTTTGGCTTGCCTGGAGGGCGTTCGGTTGGCGATTAACTGGATACATATGCCAATAATACTTGAATCTGACAATGCCGATGTCGTTGCTGGACTGAATATAACACAAGCGTCAAGAGCAGAATGGGGAGGTATAATTGCCGAGATAAGAGTGGCAATGCAATGCTTGCTGCAGGTGTGTAGCGCCCGTTCCGTCGTGGCGCCTAGCGGGAAAATTCTCTCTTAAAAACCCTAATTGCGAAATCCGTTTCCTTGCTTGTTGCCTAGTGTCCGTGCCATCTCAGATCTCAAATCCCCGATCTATCGCCAAGTTCAATCCCGAATCCAAATCCTTCCCAAGTCAAATCCCTCCGTAAAAGTCTATTTTGCCTCCCTCGGGTTCGATGGGCCGAATCCCTCTCGGCCCATCTCCCCCTCCCTCCCCAGGCTCTCTCTCTCTCTCTCTCTCTCTCTCCCCGCTCTGCCGTGAGCCGCGCCGAGCCCTCCCTCCGCCCTCCGCCTTCGCTGCCGCTTCCCGCCGACGCCGCCGAAATCACCGCGCCGCCCGTTGCTTCCCGCGCGCGTGCGCCGTGATGGCCAACCGGCCAGTCGCCGCCGCTGTCAGTGCCTGCCGCGCCTGCCCCGCGTCTGCCGCCCGTGTCGCCGCTCCGTTCCAAACCGCCCCGCCGTCATCGCCGTAGTCATCGACTCGGCCCCGCCTCTCCCCGCGCGTGCCTCCAATGGACGGAGGCAGAGCTCCCCCCTTGCCGCGTCGCCCTCTCTCCCTCCTCCTTTTCCCCAAAGTGGCAAGGGGGCAAGCCCCCTTTTCCTCCTCCCTTTTTCCCTTTTCTCTTCCCCGCCGGCGTCATCCGCCTCTGTCGCCGTTTTGGCCGCAAGCGCCGAGCGCCAGCTCGCGCCTTGACCACCCAAGGTCGGTTTCCAAACTGACATTGCCGCCCTATAAGCCCAGGCGCCCTCCTTCCCTTCTCCTCTCGTTTGTCCCACCGCCTCCACTCCGTTGCCGCCGCTCGCTGTGTGCTCGCCGCCGTCGCCGCCCGTGCTCCGTAGCACCCGCTCGTCGCCGGCCTCGCTCGGCGTAGCTCCGCCCAATCCGACGCTAGCAACGGATTCCTGTAGCCGCGTAGATGCTCTCATCGCCGGGAATCGGCCCCTCGTGACCTCGTCGCCGTTTCCCCCTTTTCTCTTCGCCGGTTGCCGCCGCCACAATCCGCCGCCGACGGACTCCCTCTGGCGAATCCGAGCAGTTGGCTCGTCTCCCCTCGTCCTGTGCAACATCCCGGTATGCTCGCCTTCGCCTGTATCACCATGGTTCGCTCCGCCGCTCGCCGCTGTCGTCCGCCGTCCGTTCCGGCCGGCGTCGTCGTCTACCTCCCGCCGGCCCGCGTGGCAGCCACGTAGGCGCCACGTCAGCGCCACCTCGGCCGCGACCGGGTCAAGCAGACCCCGGTCCACCGTTTCCCTTCGCCCCCTCGCGCGCGCGGTCCACCGCGAGCCGTGAGGCTGCGCGTGGGCCCGCCGCACCGCGTCCTCCGCGAACCGCGCGCATGCACCGCGCCTCCCTCCCCAAACCCTAGCACGCCCCGCGTGCACCTCGCTCACGGTGAGCCGAGTCGCCGACAAGCGGGTCCCACCCGGGACCACGCGGGATGGACCCAGCCCACCGGCTCCCTCTCTCCCCTCCCCACCCGCGCGCGCGTCTTGTGCCGGCCGGCCCATTAAGCTCGGCCGAGCCGCCCCTTTCTCTCGGGCCGCGCCCTAGCCGCCCGAGGAAAGTCTAATTTCCCTCCCTCCTTCTTTTCTTTTCTTTTCTTTTTCAAAAAGGATTTAAATAAATCCTTTTTCCTTTAGACCAAAAATCCAATAATCTTAGAAATTCAATATCTTCCCAACCGTAAGTCCGTTTGACTCCGTTCAACTTCTAAAATCCCTCAAATCTCAAGATCAATCTAATGG